TCTCTACCGCACCTGCCCACACCGCGCTGAGTGTTCAGCAGTTTTTGACCAAAAAATGGCATGACCCCTGTGCCCCACCTCCCTATTCATCAAATCTTGTCCCAAGAGACTTTTTGTTTTGTTTCCCCAGATGAAAAAAGTCCTCAGAGGGAAACATTTTGCTCCTGTGGAAGAGGTGAAACAAAAACCAGCAGAAGCACTAAAAGGCATCAAAATCGACGAGTTCAAAAACTGTTTTGAGCAGTGGAAAAAAAAATTCTCGACAGTGTATTGCATCAAATGGAGAGTACTTTGAAGGTGACTGAAGTTTAAACCTGCAAGAATAAATACACAATAAATGTACGTGTATATGTAGTTAGCAGAACCGCTCCCATAGTGCCTTGAGCCTTACCATTGTGTACTCCTGGCTAACTTAACAACTGCCAGCCTCTGTGTTTCTTCACCTGAGAGCATGGAAGGCCAGAAGCAGTACCAGGGGGTTAGCATCCCAGAGAGCAACATTCAACCGGTAACTAACAGGAACTGATGTTTAAATACCCCGGCTCTCATGACCCTGGCGGGGATAACTGGTATGCATTCCACATTGGCTCCCCTGTAGGTGGTAACTTGATGGGCAAGATTCTCTTCATGGGCTGCCTTCCTTTTCCTTTCTCAGTTCCCTTCCTGGGTGTTTTCTAGCATCACCTACCAAATAAACTACTTGCACTCAAATCCTTGCTTTAGAGTCTTCTGGGGGGTCCCCAGCTAAGGTTGATATAGGAATTATAAACTGTGGTGCATGCCATGGAGAAAGATACAGGCTCCTATCTGGGAGGAGGGTTATCTGCCCCAGTGTCAAGTGATGGAGGGGGACATCCGGGAAGTGGAGGAAGAGACATGTGAGGTGGGATCTAGAGGAGGGGCAGGTGGAAGGAACATGGGGCATTTGAGGGTCTGAAAGGACAGTTTGGCAGCAGCAGGGGACCAGGGACACGGAGTCAAGCCTAAGAAACCAAACCCTGCAGGGTGCTGTAAGATGTGGATAAGGAGTTGAGGGTGTCTGTTCGGAGAACGCTGAGAAGCCATGAAGGGGGCTCCAGAGAGACAGCAACAAGATCAGATCTGCCTCTAACAATAAGTGGAGAAGGGCAGGAGAGGGCAGTGGGAGAGAGGGAGTTCAGGGGCCTCTGTGTCACCCAGGGCTTTCCACGGGGTTTTGACTTTGAGGAGTCTCAACAAATGTTTGAGGAAATGCAAGGTAACTTACTAGCTACATATTTCATTGACTAGACACCTTATTTCCTGGTCAAAATGAATTATGGTTTCCTTTGATTAATGGTGCCCTTTGGTTCTGGACTGTTTCCCTAAAGTTTTTCAGGCCTTTCTCTGTGGGACAGTACCAAAAGGACAACTTCCTGCTTCTTTTTCTCATTCTCCACTCCCCTCCTTTTCTCTCTCTCTCTTTTTCTTTCCCCTTCCCTCCCCCCATACCTCTCTATCTCTCCTCCTTCTCCAAATACTCTTATTTAATAAGGTTCATTATTCCATAGGGTCTCCATTTCTACTAACTGTGGCATTAATTCTTACCTGTGGCTATCTTAAGACTCTGTAGACATATTCAGAGAAAACAGAATTATACTTTGTGAACATGGTAATTTTAAAGTGGATTTTTAGTTCAATGCTATCAAAATGCAAAAAAGAAAAATGTTCCTAAGCACATTCACTCCTTTGTTAATATCACCATATACACAATCTTGCATTTGCTTATTTTTTTCATGGGAAAAATTCCATTTCAGAGATGATTTATACAAAAAGCCTGTGCATGCTATTTATAATCTGAAATCATGAGCCACTGAGAATATTTTAAAAAGATGAAAAAATGGAGACTCATATTCATACGTTTGATCATCAGTGTGGTCTCACATGTGGCCACTGTAAACATATCACTACAGAACACACCAAGAAACGTGGTATGATATTTACCAGTCAGCAAGTTCAGATTTATGGAGCTGTAGAAAGTAACACGAGAAACCCAGGCCATAAATTAGTCTCCAAGAATATACTGTGAATAGTCACAATTGTACCCTTTTCTCTCTTATGCTCCTTTATATAAAAATCTTGAAATCCTTGCTCATCCCCTCGTTTAAACCAGCAACTAAAGAAACAAGACATTAGGTGTCTAAGGTTTCCCATGACCTTTTATACCCAATGTTTTCATTTTCTTAAAAGTAAACCTTCAGCAGTTGGTGAGGGTTACCCTTTGCCGCCCCCGGGGGCTGAGATCTGTCCACGGGGTTCTCCATTTTCACTCTGGCGTCCCCTTTCGGCACTTGCACCAGTCACCCCAAGCCTCTCACCCTGTGCCCTGGCAGGATTTGAGACATGCAAATTGCAAACTGATAAATAGCAACTTTGCATATTTGGAACAGAAGAACAACGTGGCACCACTCATTCTGTTCACAGGGAAATCTGAGATAATGGGAATAAGAGCAAGGGCAGACTGAGGGTCCTAGATGTTTTCTTCAAAGTGTTTGTTATGCTTATTATATCTATTGTACAATGATGAGTTAATTTGAATTATTTACATGGTCAACCTTTGAGACAATAACCTGATTTAATCAGAGGATGCAAATGTATCATTTCTCTTTGAAATCTAAAAACTGGTTTAAATTGGAAGAAGCATCAGGACTTGTACCTTTTCCTACAACTATTGGTTACAAACCTGCAGTTGTCAGGTTAAATGACATAATGTCAGAAATCAAGAGAAGGTGGTGTATTGCTCATGAAAGCCGATGAACTCCCCTGGGAGAACACATTCCCTGGACAGCTAACTTGGATGACAAATATCTCAAGTAAAGTCTTTCAATTCCATTTATTGGTAAATATCCTGTATTGTCTGACACGAGGGTGTCCGTCTGCTAAAATTTCAGTGTGAAAGAAAATAACATAGTAAGAATGGTTAGGTATTCATTAGATTTGGGCCAGGTGTCATTTTAGTGAATGTTTATACTGGTAAGAATCCCTTAGTTTTACTACTGAAGCTGTAAGAATCCCAGATTGATGTCAAGTTTGAAATACTATAATCCAATCATTTAAAATATCTAGGTTTCCCTTATGACTTGGGAAAAAAATTGGTAATTCTTGTTCAAGCTTATCCTACTTTGGGTTTTTTCCCCTTGGTGTTTAGATGTTTATAAAGAATTTTTAAGACAGGTAAATTCTTGTGTGTTTGTGAAGACAAAGAGGCACACGTGATTTGAAGGTGGAGTCTTTCTGAGGTAAAGTGAACAGGTTGCATCTTGAATTTTTATGAAATCTATATATTAGAAGAATGATTTTCAACTGGTGTGCCAGAAGAATTTTTAAAATGTGTTAAAATATGTAATACCTGACTATTTAGTCAGGGGCACTGACCTCTTTTGCATTAGACTGTAAAAAAAAAAAAAAAGAAAAAAAAGACAACAGCCAAAGACAACAGCCAACAATAGCCATCCAATGTGAATGAATCAAAACTATATCTATTTTTTTCTGTCATATCAGCAAAAAACATATTTTTTGGTGTGCTGCAGAATTTTAGTAACTAGTTTATGTGTGCTTGCAATTAAAAAAGGTTGAAAATCATTGTATTAGAACAATGTTTCTCATGTAGGAACACAGTAATCTGGGAACAAAAGGGAAATGGGGCCAAAGAATGAACTGTGAAGATTTTTCCAAAATATTAAGTGATTCTAATGCTGAAAACAGGAATGGATGTTGATACTGCAGATGGTTCCTAGCAAGGACTTTAAAAGCTTAATGATTTATTGATTGAATCTACACTAATGATGTGCCCCTGAATATGCATGTGTGAATAAGAGGGCTTATTTATGAAAGTTCAATTATATCTTTTAGATATATTTGGTCCATATTGAAAATAAATTGAAGGACTGAGGCAATGATCTGAATGTCTGAGGGGCAGAACCCCCACCTGATTTGAAGGAAGGATAGTGTATCAGGTGAAGAGGTAAAACAAGAAAGGGAGAGAAAACTCTATAGGGAGTGAAGGAAAAACAAAAGGGAGAAAAGCCTTACTCCCCCTTTCTCTGCTTCCCCGCTTCTCTTATCCCAAAAGGAGAAAAATAGATTCCCAGGTGCACCAGGGAGCAATGTTTGCCTTGAAAAAAAGAAGAAAGAAAAAAAGTTGTCCTGTTAAATCAGCTACACATGGAGTCTGTCTGTGTAAGGAAATCAGCCTTTTCATTACAAATCGGTTTAAAAAGCCTTAGAGAAGAGAGACGTGAACAGAAGCAATATTATCCACTGACAACCTAACTCCCTTTTAGACATCAGCTGAGAGACGATCAGCGGCATCACTGAACAGGGGGTTTGTCTGAAGATAAAGACTCATCTTTATTTCTTTCAGGATATAAAACTTGTATTTAAATCAATTCAGAGAAGCACTTCAGCTTTAAACATTAGGGAGAGGAGAGAGCCTATTTAATAAAACAGCATATTTCATTTTCAAAGAGTGATAGTGGCAGTAGCTCTGAGTTTAAATTCTGTATTCTTTTCCTCAATTATAATTATAGATGGGTCTGAAAGGAAACATGCCTATTACTGTCATATTTATTCTTTTGACAGGTGTTATAAGACTGTAATTTGATGAAATGACTCAAAATGCAGATTCCCATCCAAATATAATTCCTGTCATCAACATAAGTGGTTTAGGAAAGTCCTCTAGCAAGCCTTTACACAGGTCTTGAACACACCCGATGTTTTAGCAGCAATTCCTATTCAGGAATATGAGGGAGAGCCTGCCTTCAGGACTTATATCCGAGGTAGCAACAACCAGAAGGGAGCGCGAATGTTAACGTAAGAAGGCTGTTAGTGGAACAGCTTTCTTTTTCAACCGGGTAGGGTCCGATAAGGGAAGGGGCACCCAGTAGGTATAACACGTTGGGTTCCCCTATAAACAGACCCCGAGTCCCGCGCGCGGCCGACAGAGGGCGCTCGGCACACAGAGACCAGGCAGAGGCGGAGCTGCGCAAGTCTGGAGACGCAGGCGCACTTGTGGCCCCACGTCCGCCGCGTCCGGGGTTGACGTTTCCCAGTGGAGGCGGGTGAGCCGCGCTGCATTGGCGGAGGTCGGGGGCACGGGCGGGTGCGCGGGGCCCGGCCCTGCTGGGGTGGCGGGCGGGCTGGCGACTTGAAGTCTCGGGGCGTCCTCGGCTCTGCGTGGCCTGTGGAAGGCCTAGCGATCCGTTTCCCTCTTGGCCCTTTTACGTGCCTCCCAAGAGCTGCGTTCCCCGGGGCGCTACTCCCGGACACCCCAGGCCTATAGCAGGCCTCGCCGGGGCGGCTCGGAGGAACGGAGAAGGCCCACATCTCCGGGAGGGGCGTGGGGGCCACAAAGAGTCCAGGGATCTCCAGGGGCCTCCGTGAAGCCCGGCCTCCAGGCCCACTAGTGAAATGTTCATTGTCTGTTGCATACTCCGTGGTCAGCCTCGATTTGCACTTTTAACAAGATGTGGTCCCTGCATGGTCCATCTATTTGGAGCACCCCTGAGCGAGTTTACTTGGATTAACCTTCACATTTTGATGTATGCGTCTGAATAACGGATCAAATCACTCAGTGGCTGAAACCCCTTAGTCCTTAAGACTAATCTTTTCTTTCGTTTGCTTTCACATAGCATACAGTTCACCCATTTAAAGTGCAGAATTCAATGTCTTTTAGTCCATTTACAAATTTGAGCATCATCCAGCACCATAATCAATTTTAGAACATTTTCATTGCTCTCCCCGCAAAGAAACTCCCCTGGTAGCTGTTACCGTCTCAATCTCCCGTGCCTCCCCTAGCAAGGGCTAAGCTACTTTGTGTCTCTACAGATTTGCCTATTCTGCACATTTCTCATAAATAGAATCATACAATATTTGGTACTTTGTGACTCGCTTTTTTCACTTAATTGTTTTCAAGTTTTACCCATGTTGTAACGTATCATTTCTTTTTAATTATGAAAAGACATTCCATTGTACAAAGGTACCCTGTTTTATTTATCCCTCAGCTGATGGACCATAGGACCAAATTTAACTCTTCACCACCTACCAGACCCTTCTGAACCTGACCCCACATTGCTAGACAGTATCCTCTTTGCTCTTGTCTTCCCTGCCTCCTGGGGCTCCTGCGGGCAGGGGCAGTCCCTTCCTCCCTTAGGCGGTCATGTAGACTGCAGGCTGCTCTCTCTGCCTTCACCACCCCTCCATCTTCACCTTCACCCAGCCAACTCCTACTCTTCCTTCAGACCTCAGATTAAATGTCCCTCTTAAGAAAACTTCCCTGACCCTTGGCTAGGAGAGGGACCCCATGAGCCAGTCTCAGGGACCTGAATTCCACTTTTAGTATTTAGTTATATTTGAATGAGTGGTTTTTGTTATCTCCTCTTGTTAACGTGTGAGTTCCATGGGATCAGAGGCTGTCTTGTTTGTTTCTGTTTGTTCTGTATCTCTGGCACCTAGCGCCTTGTTGGTGCTCAATGATTAGTATTTCAACATGTGTGCGCATGGGCGCCTTCTGTACGTCGGGCACTTTACTAGGGCTGCAGCAAGGAATGAGATGAACTCCCTGCTCTTACAGAGCTTACATTCCAGTGGGAGAGTACAAACAGAAGCAACTATAATTCAGGTAGTGAAGAGCACCATGAAGATAAATAGTAGTGTGGTCAAGGAAGGCCTCTTCAGTGAGACCTGGACACATGGAGGGCAGGGGCTGCTGTGGACCAGGTGGGCACTCAGGAAGAAAGCCTGGGTATATGAGGACTAGCAAAGAGGCCAGAGAGAGGAGTAGGGGGAGAAGAAAAGGATAAACCAGGAACTTTCAGCTCAAGGATCCTGTCAGACAAGCTCTGGGTGTGTGTAGAAAGGGTTTGAGTTAGAAAAGCAGAGATGTGGGTACAAAGCCCAGCTGTGGCTCTTGCATGTTTCTGCATGACCTTGAGCCTCAGTTTTTTCCCTTTGAAGAGTGGGAGTAATGGGATTGTAGATTAAGTAGTCTCTCTGAAGTACCTGCCCCAGTGTTTGACACCTGGTAGATACACAATACATTAGTTCCTTTCTTTTGCCTTCAAACCAGCGTGGGATGTTGTGGCCTGTGTGTGAGAGGCATTCAGTTCAAGTTGCTGGTTGTTCCACTCTGAGACAAACATGTTTGCCTTTTGCATGATTTTTTTGATTTGCTTTGGCTAGAATAGCTCATTTGAAACTAGTAATGGCTCAGGGCAGTTTGGGCTGACAGATGTAACGTGACACCGTAGCTTTGAGACAGCAGGTGTGGTAGAAAAAGCTGAGGACTCAGAGCCAAAGGACCTGAGTTTGAGATGTGACTCTGCCACTCACTGGCTTTGTGACTTCAGGGAAGTCACTGTCCTCCTGTCTTTAGTTTCCTTTCTGGTAAAAGAGAATCAATCAACACACATTCATTGGGCTTTTGTTATGTTCTGGGCACTGTTAATAGTGGAGGGTTGCCTAATGCAATGTGGTTTCTACATTCCCGAAACGTGCAGTCAGCACGGATCATAGCCAGGTAGAGTAGGAAAGGGTAAGATGTTCAGGCACCTAATAAGTGCCAGCCCCTGGTCTAGGCACTTCGCTTATCTTAGCTGGCTTGATCTTTACAACCTGCCCTGCATGAGGTGTATTTTCTGTTCTCCAGTTTACGGAGGAGGAGGCAGAAGTCCAGAGAAGTCAAGCAAGTTGCCCAGAATTACATGGCTAGTAAACGGAAGAGATAGGCTCCAAAACCATGTTTATTTGTTTTTTGCTTTTTAAAAAATTTTATTGATTTGAGAGAGGGAAAGAGAGAGGAAGGGAAAGAAGGGGGGGCATCAATTTATTGTTCCATGTATTTATGCATTCATTGGTTGTTTCTTGCATGTGCCCTGACCAGAGATCGAACCTGCCACCTTGGTGGATTGGGATGATGCTCTAACCAACTGAGCTACCCGGCGAGGGCACAAACCAGGGTTGTTTGTGCTCAAAATCTGCTCTATGCTTCTTCATCACATTGTTACACAAGTGATTATAGCACAGTGTGATGACCCCATTATAGGAATATGGGCAGCATGGAAGAGGTAACCTAGGTGCTGGATCTTTAAGGATAAAGACGAATTGTTGAGGTGGGTAAAGAATTTAGGGTAGTGGAAAAAGAGGTATTGAAAAGTACATTTCATAGATGCTATTAACAATAATAATGGATAGTTAATAAGCACACGATGTGTACCAGGCACCGTGCTGGGTGGTTTAGGAGCATTACTTAATCCTCATAATGATTCTATGTAGGAAATACTATTAGTGGCCCCCATGGACAGATGTGCAACAAATTCTGAGATGGAAGTTAAGAAACTTGCTCAGGATCCCACAGCTTGCAAGTAATGGAGCCAGAATTTGAACCCAGACTGTCTAATGAATTTAACCTCCAAGTTCAGAGTGTAGTTAAAATTCGGGGAGTGTGGGAAGGACAACACAAGATGAGAGAAGAGAGAAGAGATGAGAGGAGAGAAGTTGAAACCAGGTTTTGGGAGACCACGCATAGAGAGTATTTCACAGAGGGTTTTGGAGAAGGGGAGTAACAGGGTGTGTTTTTCAGGATATGTCCTCGGGTGGCTCTGTGGGGGCTGGACTGGAAGGAGAGAGACTGATTGGGAAGTGTTGGGATTGTCTGAAGGAGGCATTGTCACAAAGCTGGGAAGCAAAGCGGTGCCTGGGGATGAAGGTGGGTATGGGGGTGATTTAGAAACTTGGGTGAGGAACGTGGAGGGTAGCCTAGACCACGTAGTAGAGGAACTGAGGAGTAAGGATTGCTGCCCCGTTTCTTGCTTGAGAGAATGTGCACGTGCAGGCTGGAGCCCCAGAGTTGGGGGGAGCAGAACCACTTCAGTGATGGGGGGTACTCGGTTCCTGCAGAGTCCCCCTGGGTCACTGCGGATGGAAAAATAAGTCATTCCAGACACTTCTCAGTCTGCCAGGAAAAGGGGGTGGCGATTCCCTCTAGTGGGGAATGCCCTGAGCCCTTCTCTTGAAGCTGCTTTTATTGAGAATGATATGTGCAGGGGTATACAGCGTGCATGCCAAGCTCATCAATCAATGTCAAAAGGCTGTGATTGAAGGAACACAGATTTGCCTCAGGTCAGGGTCTGGTAGATAGGGTGGCGCCCATTCAGCCCTGAAACCTGGGAAACTGATCACATCCTGTGCTTGACTCCAAACATTAGTACTCATTAATGGGAGGGCATTCTTAGCAAAGTAAGTTTCCTAGGATTTAATGCATTCCTTTTCCAGGCCTAATTATCCAGATTAGGGCTGTACCTGCCTCTAGTATTGTTTCACTGATCTGGTCAGGTGGGTGGAGCAGAGCAGCCAAGAGGTAAGGAGACTTCTTTCAGATAGAATGAGGACCCTGGCCATGACAAAGCTGCGGGGTGAGGTCTTTTGCCCCTTCTCTGTGTCCCCCAGGTCCTTCCCTGATGGTCCCTATGCGACTGTGCCTGTCTTAGGTTGCCCCTGCCATCGAGGGGTCTTACCCGTCATTGACTAGCCAGCCATCCTCTGGGGCCAAGCAGGGTGATGTGAGGGAGGCAGGGGCACAGGGGGACAGGTTTTGTCTCCTCAGTGGCCTATTTTCTCAAGGCCTCCATGCTCAGCTCCAGCCTTGGGACCCTCTTGCCTGTCAGTGAGGCTACAGTCCCTGAAACCAGGCGGGACGGTTCCCAGCACTTCAGTCCTATATTGTGACATTCCTCATCAAGAAGAGTAATCGCATATTTAAACAATGGCCGGTGTGGGCTTAATTTGGCTTGTATTGGTGCTCGGTAGGGCGTAATTTCTGGCTATGTTTCTCCTTTTCCTCTCTCTTTGTTCTTTGTTTCTTTCCTCTTTCTTTCTTTGTTTCTTTCAATATAGGATTCCACGCCCCCCCCCCCCCATTTATTTTTAGGTGCCCTCTTTCAGGGCACAGGTTAGGGAAAGAGACAGTGTGGTTAAATGGGGCCGTAGGCCTGCTTCTCAGCATCTGTGCCATTGCTACCACTTGGCTCCCAGAAATTCCCTTTGTGGCTTTATTTTCACCCTT